TATAATTTAAAGTAGTTTAATTCTTAGTTTATTAGAATTAAAGATTATAAGTTAGTTATAGTAATATAGCTTACTATTTTAGTTTTTATAGTTAGCTAGTGTTACCTTTTTTAACTAACTAGCGCTATTTTAGAGCAAGTTTAAAGTTTCTTAAATAAATTTATTATTTAAATACTTATTAGTAATAATCTAATTAATTATCTAATTTATTTTATTTAAGTTAAAGTTTAAAAATAGCTTAGATTAAAGTAAAGTTTAGTGTTAAGCTTTTTACACTTTTTTTTAAGTAAAAACATTTTAAAATTACCTTATAAAAGCATCTAGTTTCTTTTTATTTTAACTAGAATAGTAAGTAATTTTAAAATTAAAATAAAATAAGTATTTAAACTAATAAGCTTATTAGTAGCTAAGTTATTTTATAGTTATAAAGTACTATAAGTTTTTATAGTTAAATAAAACTTATATTAGATGCGCTGCACTTTCTAGTTTAAGTTACTATTATTTAAAGCAGTGTACTATAGTAAGTAGTTTTTTATTATAGATTTTATAATTACTTTTTACAAGACTTATTTTTTTTAAGAAATATATAATAAGCTTAATAGTCTTATCTAGCTTAGTCTAGAAGAGAACTTCTGCTACTATATAGTCTAAGGCATTAGCTTTTATAAGTATTAGTAGTTTAAAGTTAAAGTAGTAGAGTATTAAAGCTTTAGTAAAGGCTTTCTTTAGCTAGTTAAAAAACTATTAGTAATTTAAGTTAAAGTTAAATTAAATTTTTTTTTTAGTAAGTGTAATTATAAAGCTTACTTACTGTAAGAAGTTATTAATAAATTATTAGTAAAAGTTAGTAAATTTTATAAAAGCTTAAACATCTTTTATATTTTTTAGGTATTACTAATTTAGCATAGTTTAAACTTTAATAGGGTCTATTTAGATGCTATTTATAAAGATTACATATCTTAAATACATAACCTTTAATTAGTAGAACTTACATTTGTCTACATTAAGTTACAAACCTGCTTCTTCTATAGCCTTTAGCACTAAGCGTACATGCTGTTTATGCTCTAAAAGGCTATTACTGTAAATTAGAATATTATTAATATACACAGTGCAAAACATGTCTAGGTAGGGTTAAAGCAAGTTATTTATAAAATGTTAAAAAGTACTAGGCGTGTTAGCTAAGCTAAAGAGCATTACTAAGTACTTAAATAGTCTATATTAGGTCTAAAACACTATTAGCTACTTATTACCCTTTACTATTTTTAGCTTATTAAAGGCAGTAATAATATCTAACTTTATAAAATACTTTACTTTACTTAGTTAGCTTAGAGTTTCTTATAAAAAAAAATTAAGTATTAGTTTTTAATAGTAACAGCATTTAGTCTTTAGTAGTTAATATAGAATTAAAGCCTACCTCTAAGTTTCTTTATAAATAGTATAAGTAACACTACTAGTAAAAAGCTAGCTTAAATAAACTTTTTTTTTAAGTTCTTATTAAAGTATTTTTAAAGCACTTTTAATTTATTTAGTAACATTTTATATAGTAGCTTATAACTAAGTTGTTTGCTAAGCTTAAGAGTTATTTAGTAATTATATAAACATTATATTAAAAGCTTATTAAACTTATCTTAGAAGAAAACATATAATAAGTTATAGTAGTCTTAAGAAACTATTATTCTTAGGTTAGTATGTTTTTAAAAAGCTAAAGCTTAGTCTATATTAGAAATTATAACTACGTAGATTTTATAATCTAGTTATTAAGCTAAGGTTACAAATAAAGTAGGTCTTATATAGTAGATGTCTATCTGCTATTTAAGTTCTAGTTTGTGTTTAAATTAAGTAAGTAAAAGTTTTTTAAAAGCTTTTTTTTTTTTAAGTTTAAGTAGTTATTAAATTATTTTATATAGCTTATCTTAGTAAAAGGCCTAGCTTATTAGCCTTACTTAAGTAGTTTTTTTTTAAGTTATTAAAAAGTAGGTCTAAAGACCTTTTATATTAACTGCTATTTAAGTGTTGTTTAAGTATAAGTATAAGTATATATCTTAGCATTAGAAAAAGTTAAAGTTTAAAACTTACTTTTAGTAATTAAAGGCAACTTTATACTAATATAGCTATAGTTGTTTTAGAATTAAGTTATAATATTTTATATTTATTATATAGAGCTTAATCTGCTCTTTATAGTGTTAGTAAGTAATTATAATAGTTATAGTACAAAAAATAAAACTTTTTTTAAGTTATTTTCTATTAAATCTAGTTAGATAAATTATTTAAGTAAGTAGTATTAATTAAAGATTTAGTTTATACACTAGTTCTTTATTAATATAACTTATACTATTTACTTTTAAGTTAATAAGAGCCTATATTAAAGCTAATATAGTTTTTTATTATAAATATATAAAAATATTAACTTAGTACTTTTAGTTATTAGTAAAGGACTTAGCCTATAAGTTAGCAAAGATCTAGTGTTAAATTAGTTCTAAGGGGCAACTTAGCCCTAGAACAAGCCTTTTTACAGGCTTCTACTACTATAGCTGCAGCTATGTTAAGAGTAGCAAAAAGAATTAAAGCTTAAATATAAGTTAAAGCTTTTATAAAAATAAGATTAAAATAGTAAGAATCTTTAATAAGTACTAGTAGTGCTACTTGCGTAGACTTAAAAAAAAGAAATAAAGCAGTTTTAGAAAATATAACTATGCTTACTACACTTAAAGCATTAACTTTTTTTTTTATAATTTTTACACTTTTTAAAACTAACTAGAGCATAATTTAAATTAATTTTTATTATATTAGAGTCTTTATTTATAACTGCGCTAGTTTAGAGGTGTATTAAAGCTTATATAGAGAGGAACCTTATGTTATTATTATAAGTAGTAATTAGGTTTACATACATATTAAAGTTGTTTAGAAAAGGTTTTTCTACTATAGCGTGTTACAGTTTAGTTAAAAGGGAGTTATATAAGGCTATAATTAGACCTATCTTATTTAGGCCTATATTAAATGCAAGTTAGTAGAACTTAGTAAAGTGTAAAGTAAAGCTTTTTTTTTTTTATTATAAAGTGTTTAAGTAACTTAAAGCTGTTAACTTTTTATTTAAGTCTTTATAAGTTGCTTATAGAAACACTATAAATTAATTTAAGTTAATAATATTTTTATCTATTAGTAAGTTAATTAAGGCTGTTATATTATAGTTAAGTTAAAAGTAAGCATATAGTAACTAAAAGTGTTTAAAGAGGAATTAGTCTATGTTTCTTTTAAGTTTATATTAAAGCTTATGTAAAAAAAAAAGTAAGTCTTTTTATTTTTTATTAAACAGCAGAAGATTAGAAAGTTAGTTAGATTTTATTACTAAGTTAAAAAAGTTATAAGTTATAGGTAGTGTTAAGTAGAAAAAAGTTAAGCTATCTTTAGACTTCTAAGTAAGCTTTAAAGCTAGTAAGTTCTTAGTTCCTACTACTATAATAAAAGTTAAGGTAAAAATAGACTACTTAATAATATAAAGCTGTTTTTTAAAGTTTTTTTAAAAAGCTTTAAAGCTTATAACATAGTAGCTTTTTTATAAAGTAAGTACTTTTTAAAAGGCTTTTTAGCTTGCTTTAATAGCTTAAAGTTATGTAAGTACTAAGCTTATTAAATTAGATTTAGAGGCTATTCTTAGCTAAAGTTTTAACACAATATAATGTTATAATTATGCATAAGTAAGGTTATAAAGCTTTACAAAGGTCTAGTTTAATTACTACATAAAGTATTATAGTAGGTATAAAACATTATGTAAGAAATAAAAAAGTTTAAAAGAAAATTAGTAATTAAATACTTAGCTTAAAAGTCTAAGCGCTTTAAGTATAAATTAAGCCTATTCTAGGTTTAGTTAGTGTTAAGGCAGTTTATGCTTAAGTTTATGTCTGTGTTGTGTTGTGTTTGTGTTAGACGTGCACTAATAATACTCTAGTACGCGTCTAATACAGTTATGTCTGGGATCCGGGGAGGATACCGTGACAACTACGCGCTCTAAACTCTTTTAGAGTAGTTAAATAAGCTTTATTCTTAACTATTAAAGTTTTTTTTACCTAAATTTACTTTTTTTTATATAATTTATATTACATAGTAGCTTTATTTGCTGCTTAAAGCTTTATAATCTTATAGCCTACTTTATTACATTAATGCTTTAGATAACTATTATCTACTTTTTATTACTTTACTATATTACTTTTAGCTGTTTTTATTTTTTTTAAAGCTATAATAACTACTCTAGTTAATATTTAGCTTATTATAAAGCTTAACTTATTAAAGTTATACTTATTTTTATTCTAGATACTGTACTTAGCTTTTATATTAGCTACTAAGTAAAACTAGCTTTAGATAACCTCTAGATCTTTATAAAGCACTCTTTTATAATTATACTTATAATTAAACTTTATTATAAACTTAGAGTAGTGCTTAACCTATATACTAGTCTAGTTTAAGCTAACCTAGCCTAGATTACACTTTATAGGCAAGGAATTAGCTATATTAGCTATAGCTATAAGCTTAAAAAGAAATTTATGTGTAATAAGCTTAAGTATGTACTTAATAACTACTTTTTTTTTAAGCTTAGTTAGATTTCTTAATTTAGGCTAGCATTTTGCTTGTAAAGGCTGTCTAGCGCGTTAATTGCTTAGTGTTATGTAAAAAACATTATAGATAGCTATAGTGTGTTATAAGAAAAGTTTTAAGTCTTATTTAAAAGCTTAAAAAGTAAGCTGTATCTAATGTTCTTTAGAAGATTTAATCTAGTGTTGTTGTTAAGGCATTATGTAGATAGGTAGAGTTTAGTGGGGGCTTGGCAAAAGTGGCTGGCCAACCTGTGTGGCTGGCCAACCTGTTAGGTACGTTATATTATTTTAGCGCTTCTAATAAGCTAGTTGAAAGACTTAATAACTAATAGAAGTAATGAATTCTAGTACCTATAAATCTACTACAGTGGGGCAGTTGAAGAAAAATTATCACAGGCCATCAGCCGAGTAATGTGTTTTAAGCCATCCTCTTCTCTAGAATACTCTACGGATGCGCAGACTGTGGACAGCAAGAAACCCTTCCAGCCGGCTTCACTTAGCAACAAGGCCCTATTTGTCAAAGTAGGTGCCAATCCCTACCCCACCACCTCCAAATCCTCACGGTCGCACGTCTGCCACTAAACGTCAAGATATGGCGTCGCTTTCGATTGTATATGGGTCCGCAAAACAACACTCCATCTCGAGGACGATACAGGAAGCAGTGACGGAAAGTTCGAGTCTCCTACTTCGTTCGCATTTTACTCCGCAATATGGATGAGAATATTGGGCGTTAAGCAAGTGTCAAGGGGTGAAGCGAGCATGGCAAAACATGCAGAACAATACGTCAGATTTCCCATTATACTGTTCGTGGCCAATGCCCGAGACTTGCACGCCTATACTAAGATCCAAATCCTTCGATTATTCTCTAACTGTCTCGATCTTACTGAACCGAGCGGCGACGCTTGGGCAGTCCACGCAAAATTGAATGAAAATGCAACCAGGAGAAGGTGGCCATATTACGCAGCAGCATCACTTGGCTCCTTATTTCTACGGCAACCGAGAAATTTTTTGCGTTTGGCTGCACAGTTGTGTGGTCTGCCCTCTCATATGGTGTGCAGTGTCTGATGTCATCAACCAGAACTTCAACTACTTAACATCTATTTTGCTTATAGGGCTAAGGTGGATCGTACTAGTACTTCCATCTCTCTGTCTAAGTCGGACAACGGTGGCAACTTTCCTCTTACCAAGCCTTTGGAAAGAGTGAATAGGCTGTGTGGATTTAGAGGATGTGTAGGAGACGACAGCTGCTTGTATAAGCTTTTTAGCGATGGATTGGATTAGATTCGATGTTAACGTAGCCTTGGTGTTTTTCTTTAGACTTTAGTTCTTTAGTCTTTCTTGCTTATATTGGGGATCTTCTTGTGGTTACACGGATATAAAATCAACGAGTTGTTCTTATTCTAATCATTTGTGTGCATTCCGTTTATGTCACTTAATTCGAGGGATGTACTCGTAGAGCTCATAGCGTGACTTTAAGTTCGTCCACACTCGGTTTTGGAGATGTGTACCATGATATTCGTTCGTTCCCTTTTCCGTGCACGTAAAAAAATAGAAAAACAGTTTACGTCGAGATTAGTTGATCATCGGCATATGGTTTACTCGGCCAAGTCCTGTACGTACATGTAGGTCCCCACAGTGACATAGTTTTATCGAGTGATTTAGTTCGCAGTTTTGCTAGAGTTATCTTTTTTTATTAGATTTAGCTGTATATAGGAGAAGCTTGCTTCTGTCCAGCATCCAATTCACTCTAGTCAATAGAGCGCTCTTCTAAGAGCCAGCCTTGAAGGTAGGAGATGACCCTACAGTCCCGGATCATTGGAGAAGCCTCAACGTAATCATCAAGGCCCTCTGAAAAGCACAGGACAGACGATTAGAACGACAGATTTGCCGCCACCTCCCGTCTTTTCCCGCTGACGTTATATGCCAGCTGGAGCAGACGAGAACGTAGCCGCATCCAATCATGAGTGGCATCGCATGCTAACCAAAGAGATGCCAGCCGTTCCATACGACATTAAAAAAACAATCCGAGTGTGCCCGCCTCGTAGCCGTGAGGCTATACCCACTTTTGAAATGCCCGACATGGAAACCGCCCAAAAATGCGACACAAAAAATCAAGAGCGCTTATGTAGGTGAGTCTACAGGGAAAAGAACGAACTAACGCTCGCTAGACGGAGATGGGGGCAAGTGAAATATGTGACCAGGAAACAAAGGTATAAGAAACACCATGTGAAAGACTCCAAGACAATCCGTGTTGGGGGTATCCGACAATCAATGTCGCGAGACAGGGCCCTTTGGGCTGTGTCTTTGAGGATGCCAAGGCAAAGGAGCAGCAGGGGGGGGACTGTTTGCGGTAGTCGCTCGAAGAGATGGAGGGAGAGCATCCTCCCAAGCTGGGGATGTATATGTGGGAGTATTACTCAAAGCTTGGGTCGACGTTAAGATTTGGTGCGTCATCATATCTTCCATGCGCATTAGAGGATCATCCAATTGACTCCAATTCCATGAGTACGACGGAGGTGTTGGGTTTCGTGGGGCAGGAGAAAGGTCAATGGTTGCATTCCTACGGGACAAGGGCATGGTATCGTGGAATTCCGAAGCATCCCTCCGCGAGCCCATGAATACATCACCGCGGAGGCTGAAGGGAAGCTGTGGGGAGAGCTGCTCGTCTCGAGATTTGACACGCGAAGTAGCGACCGAATTGAGCAAACTGGGTGTATACTGGCCTTCATCCGAAATGGATGCTGTCAATATTTGTTTTGTGCGTTGGCTAATCTTCGTTGCGGGAGCTTTAGGTGTTGGCGCCTGGCTGCGGTCAAGTACGAAGTCCATGGTATCCTCACTGTATTCGAAGATGTTGGTACCATTGCCTAGGTTATTCGCACTGCCTCCGTTAATCTCTGATGCCTTCGAAATATTAACTGGGGTTATCGATCGGCCCTCGGGCTCACGCAGGCGGCCCGGCGAGTATGCCATACTCGAGAGACTCTTGAAAGGAAGTGTTCGTTTGTCTGCGAGATCGTAGATGCGCTGAATCTGCCCGCTCTTCGGATAGTCTCCAAATTCCAACTCGTCGACTAGCTCCCTAGCGTGTTCTGCTTTCCAACCCATGGGTACCTTTGCCTGTCCTGCTAGGAAGTTTTCCCACTGACCAGAGAAGCCTTCTCGTCGGAGTAAAATCCTGATCATGCGAGAATGATCTAAGTCCTCTTTAGTCTTGCGTGGCTCGACTTTGTAATGAGTCAACTTGATGTGGTTCGCTCGCAACGCAAAACATCCAATGCCTTCGAAAAGCGTGCTACAGTAGGGACATGCACATGCTGTCTTCGGATCTGAAAGAATCTCGACTCGCTCCGGCTCTGCGCATGGTTGGCAGTGGTGATTCCTATGGTGGCGGTCATGTCCGGCCTTTGTCTTGGAACGAATTTGGCAATGCGGGCATATCCATTCCTTGCGTTGACTATGGTTATTCTCCTCATGGTTTAGGCAGTCCCCAGATCTCACAAAATCCTGTGCACAGTACATACACTCAAACAATCTAGGCCGGCTCAACTTAGTTGTCGTCTCCATGGGACTAGAGTCTGCGGACTCGTTCGATAGATCCTGCGATGATCGGACTACCATAAAATCCTCCAGGGCGCGCTCCCGGCGCTGCTCGATACCACTATCAGACGGAAAAGATGAGGCAAAAGAACATGTAAGAGGCGATGGCTGTTCTGTAAGCGCGCTGCTAGTAGAAGGGCTGCCGTAATTTAGTTGCAGATGTCCCGTTGAACCGCAAGAGCCAGTGCTGAGCCGTGCTGAGCCGTCCATCTCATCGGAGAGGCAAGATTCATAACCAGAGTCTCGCACGGATGTTGAAGATCGGCTCTTGGTCGTAGGTGCAGAGGATGTAACGATAGATTCTCTCCATTCCAAAATCTGGCTTCCCCAGAACATCCTTAACTTCTTGAAAAATTCCAAAGACCCATCTTCCATGAATATTAGCAGCAGTCGCAAGTCGGCTTCCGTATATTTCGAGACAATTTGGAATAGGTCTTGATCTTGAGCAAGCTCGTGTCCTCTCATGATTTCTTTGGCTTGATATCGACGAAAGAAATGGCGGTAACTCTCATCTTCATACAGTGTCCATGGGTCGACGGAAGCTGGTTTATCGTCATGTGTATCTGTGTTTCGTGAGCTCGGCGGACCACCCTTGAGATCCACATTTGACCATGGGTGGTTTGACGGCGCTAGATGCTGCATGAGGCAGAACCAAAAAGCGAATGCTTGAAGGAGTGACAGTAGCGGCCGTGGGCAGTCCTCCGAAAGTCAAAACGATCAGGTCGAGAAATAGGACGGCGAAGAACAAGCACAGTCGGACATGCTACAGCTACAGTGGCCAAGGAAGCAATCAAGGAAGGGAAAAGAGTGGCAAAGAGGAGGGATGAAATCTGAGGTCAGCGTTGATGTCTCTGGATCGCATGTAGGCTGAGGATGTTAGCACACAGGGGCAGCTTTGTTGGAGAAGCTAAATCGGCCACTCAGGAGGGCGAATCGACCCACCTCGACATCGCAAGCCACCATCAAGTTCCGGTGAATGGAACTTGACGTGGTGCACTCTTATTCAGTCATGGCGAGGGGCAGTCGTTGCCTTCAGAGCGCTTCCGAGCCGCGAAGCCATCTCTCGCGTCTGATTCGTTAAACTCCTCAGCCTGTAGCGCCCGCATCGCATCCATCTTCAAGTTGCGGCACAGACCACTTCTCAAGTTGGCCGAGTTCAGCTCTCCCATGCGAGAAGATGAAGAGCACAAAAGTTGAGCGTTTTTATTTTCAATCTTCATATTTGGGCACGATGATGGGGAATGAATGTCGACTTGAGGATGGGTAGTGTATCGCTCGCTCGAAATCCATGTTCCTATGGGCTATCTTTCCACTTAAAGCCATATTTCCTTCGCCAACGCTGCCGTATCTCCCGTGGCAATGAAGCTCTACATATGCTTTCTTTCAGTCTTGGCGGTCCGAGTCACTACTGTACCTGCGTCAGCTCGTTCTTTACCAACAGCCACTCTGCCACAAGCACAGCCACCTACACCACGATTCGTTGGTGAACGAAAGCTTTCGATGGATACTGGGATATCAATATTTTTCAATAGCTTGATGCTGATACTCCAAATCACGAGCATTTGCGTCACCTATAAGCAGATGCGGGCTGTCTTGAAGATAGCGCAAGGTTAATCAACCCGCTCATACTTTTATAAGACGTACTCCTTCTGACCTTAAAGCTCAAGGCACAATGGGGGAAACGACAATTGCACTTGACGAGTCTGAAGATGAGTTAAAGAGGGAAGGTTGGATTAAGACTGACGCGAAGGTTGAAGAAGGAAGTGTGAACGGTGAATGCTGATTAAAGCTAGTCTCTGTTAAGAGCGGAAAGTCTCTCGACCATGTACACTGAGTGGGATTTTTTTTCAAGTTTACTCCAAGAACGAGACTGGCGGCATGACCTGTGGTCATGGTTGCAGCGATGAAGAACCGAAATACGATTGAAGTGCGAAGAGCGCGAGTTTGACTTTCGACCTCGTTCTAATAGTATGAAATCAATTGTCTCTACAGAGTCAAACGAAGTCTACACATGGTTTCGCTCGTACATAACGCATCCGATAAGTCATATCACTTGCAACAGGATTTGTAGGCGTTAACCTCAAGAATGACAGTATGCACCTGCGTTGTAACACTGAACCCGGTCTCCTCCAGTAAAACACACTATAACCAATCTATTAAGTCTAAGTCATCTCTGTCCGCCTACCTCGCCCTATGTTGCCTTAAACTTGAAGCTTCCCCCGCCACTCTTTAGACGTGACTTGTAGGGTTTGATCGGGTGCAAGGCTGGCTTCGGGTGGTTTTTGAAAAGCAGTACTGATCTCCTCTTCTTCTGACATACTTTTTCCACAGTGAGAGCCAAAAGATCCAAACTGCATCGCTTTAATTTCATTTCGCCCAGGTGTGAAGCTCTGCAATCGTTTTGCTCTTTCCTCGTTTCGGCCGTTCTTGCACCTTTGTCAAAAACAGAGTCCTATATCGTAGACTTAGCCCGGACTGCGGCCTTAGTGGTTTTGCCTTCAAACAATTGTATGGAGATTTTCTAATATATTGGGGTAATTGATACCTCCTCTCAGCACAGTCGTGAAGCTTATCCATTTAGAGCTTCTGAGCTTTTTATAGTGGACGTTGAGGTTGATTTCTGGCTCAGGTGTCGCGCTAAAGTCGTAAGTAAGGCCCGGGTAACTTAAAGAGGGAGTTTCTATTTCCTAATGCCAGCTTGCTGCACGATTATCTACTTCATAACTTATACATTTACGTTAAGTAGGCTGCTTGTGTGTGTTTGCAGTCAACCTCTTATATGCTGCCTTGCCCACTCCTCCGCATATATAGACCCGTAGATACACCCTTTACCAATCAACTCAGTTCCCCATAATTTTTAACGCACCCCAAAGCTTTATCTAAGTGTCGTATCATTTTCATCGCACACAGCCTTGGCGGTTTAGTCACGGAACAAGCACCTCTCTCCTTCCTAGGACTGAACTAGTATTCGACATGGGTGGTTAACCGCTCTATGGGGGCTTGGTCGGCCATGGGAGGTGCCTCAGGCATAAAATAAGCACAATTGGGTAAGGCCTACGCCCAATGGGGTAGTTTGGTGGACTGGAGAGTGAATTTCCCTAGCAAAACTAGCCATTCACAGATATCGAGATGAGTCAATAATACCGCAAAGTACCAACAGCCGACGTGAGTGAGTTGATCTGACTTAGAAGGGTAGGTTTGATAGTAAACTCTTTATAAGCTCGCTATTTGAAAGCCCGACACTAGCAGGCAACTACAGGCAACCTTCAATCTTTCCTCTCAGGACGAGACAAACGGTGGCTCGTAGTAACGCCCACCAAGAGCGGCTACCCTTCAAGCCCTGAACCCCAGCTGCACCCAACATAGCGCAGCTTAGTTTCAGAACCAAGATGCAAAATTTAGCCTATTCACCCAGGTAGCTAATCCACCTATCTTCACGAGTGACGACGATGTTAAATTTGAATAGTGGAAAGAAGGACTTGTTGGCAGGAAAGTTGCTCCAGAACGCTGATAATTTCGTCCTCTCATATGGCGACATGAGAAACTAAGAGGATGCACGCGTAGTATAGCGAGGTAGAAACAGTTGGGAGAGCGTTAAGTTGCCAGGTGCTACATTTAGGAGCGATAGAAACCATGGAAGCACTCCAAAAAGAAAAGGAAACTGCAGGAGATTAAACGTGGACTGGCGAAGTGTTTCTTTTAGCTATTTACAAATATCCTCAATCTCATCTTCACTATTCCCCCTGTCTTCTGAACCCTCTTTTCCCTTTCTGCGGCCAATGAAAAATGAATTAACCTTAGCCACAGTAATCGTTATTCCCAGGCCCACCATCGTTGCAAACGCTATTATTGCAGTGCCTCATGAAGTAGATAGCCCCATCATTTCGTGTTCTGCAAAGGAAGAGTGAGTTGTTGATGGAGTCTTCGGTTGTGGGTTCCCCCATTGCTATGAGTTCTATTTCAATTGTTCTGTGGTAGTCTCCTTCATGGAATGTGAGCTTGATATAATGTCGGTAGAGTTGGGAATATCATACCCTTCTGGAGTAGATTGAAGCCGCAATAACGAACGCCTGGTGTGCAGTTGTCGGCGACGGCTAGGTTTGCGAAACTAGCGATGGCGATGGCGAGGGAGGCGACGGTGAACTTCATTTTGGTAGCAGGCGTGGGTTTGGGAGACCGAAGGATTGATGCAACTGGGTTTGGGTTGGACTCGGGAGTTGTGTCAAAAACTGATCGAAGTGATGAAAGGGTTAGGAGTGGTGTTGCTGAAAGCTTTCTTCTCTGCGGCTTTGGTGCTCCCTATTTATGCTCATGTTTACGGACGGAATCGCCGTTCAGGCGTTCCTCCAACGACGTTGCACCCTGTTACGCATCCTATAATTTCTGAGGCGTGAAAGTCTAGCGTTGAGAAAAAGGTATGAGCGTGTGGCGCTTCGAGTTCGTCGTGGATTTCCTCGATGGAGAATTTCGCCTTGGATTTACTCTATCGAGCGCTGCGCTAATTATAGAAGGGTGGAGCATCCCCGTGAATGGACTCGCTTAACTGTGAGGCTGAAGAATTTCTGCTCCCGTGGACTGCCAGATACAGTTAGTGGATGTAACACTAACATGTGTAACATGATTTTAGGAAGGAAATAGTAGTTGATGTAAAATCATTGAAGGAGCGAAAATTTCCTGATTGCCGAGGGCTGTGGAGAGATGATTGAGGGCGCACTGTGGTTGTCGTCAAAGTGGTTGATGCAGGATGAATGATGATCTGAGGGAATAACAGATGGCTAGCTTCCAGGCCTTTACTTCCAAGTCTCGGAAATTGTGACTCGTTTATTTCTTTGTGAACTGCATTTGATACGGGCGTTTTTGGCGGCTGTGCAACTTAGACTTGACGCTTGTGGCAGATGCCTATTCCCACACCCCGAAAGGCCAAGAATGCCAAGGTGGAGCATGCGGCTCGTGCATCCTCATTGACCCCCAGGCCCTCGCCGAATTGACACAAGAGATGTCAGAAGGGCCTAGCCTCGACGGTAATCTAGACCCCTGAGCTACTCAAAGGCGACTAGGGGCAGGTACAAAGCCTCGACGGCCCCCGTACCTCCGCCCCGACCCTAAGATTTTCTTTCTCATGATGGCTCTGCTATACTATATACCTCTTATCCTGCATTCTCTCACAGCGCCTTGTGTTCCCTGCTAGAATATATTTCATACTAGCCTAATACAAATGTATGCATTGCCAGGGTTACTAACCCTGACCGAAAAGATTAACTAGTGGCAAGACAGTTTCACGGTCTCTATCAAGGTTTATCTAGCATTTCATCATTCATAGGTAAGGAAAGATCATAATCGTGGCTTTTCTACCTCTTTCGCGGCCATGCACAGTTCTTTCGTCCCAACTAGCACGCTCCGGTTCTTCTCTTGTGTGGAGATGGGAACATCCAATCCAGGATTCTTGTCGAAGAAGTTGACTGGCTTCAAGCCTACTACCATCTTTTCGCACGGCATCACTGGCCAATCTTCGATCCGCGGATTATGGGTTGAGCCGAACGTATGCCATACAACGATATCTTCATTTCGGACCCCAGTTTCAGCCTTTTCATTATCGCGGCGGCTCTTAATCCATGATGCAATGCCTTCTCCGCCCAATGACTGCATCGTATGCTCACCAGAGGCAAATAACTCCTCATCGGAGTGCCGGGTAACCCATACAGCGTGAGCTCCAAACTCGGACCGCTTAGAGTGGTACGAGGACGGATGAGCCAGCAGCATTTGGCTATAACATGGAAGTAGTTTGAATCCAACTGGAGTCCCAGTGATTGGATTGACCTTACCCTCGTTGACAATCTTGAATACACGATTTTTCTGATGTTCAAGATCCAGGCCCGTTTCTTCAGAGAGTGCCTTCGACTTGGTAACGTAACCAACTCAAAAAGGATTGGATGGATGAGGAAAGGGCATCGGGTGCGACTCCTCCACAACGACGGAAATTTGATGCCCACCGAGGGATGGATCAATGCGGAGGCAGAAAAGGTGTTGGTGGTATGGTGCAAGGACTCCAGGTGCAACAACCGTACCGTATGGGACCTGGTCACTGATACCAATGGGTGCCGTTGACAAAATACCGGTTGCGCGTGCCTCGTAATGGATTGATGCATCTTGGCCGAAGTAGAAAAGAAAGCAGTACTCGTAGTTAGATACCTGCCTGATTGTTACTGGATGGTGACGCTTACCAGGGAAGATAACAAGGATTAGGATGCGAATGGATGGGGCTACGTACGGTGATGATTGTTTGAAGGACAAGAAGCCGCGACCGAGTTACAACAGCATCGCCAGACCGGAAGTTAGTATGTTTCCAAAGAATCCCATCATCGATTTCGTGGCAGCAGACGACGTTCGGCATCTTCAAAGGATCCCCCGTGCTTGTTACATGCCAAGAATTGAAGTACTTGACATGCCCGAGGCAATCACATCCAAGCTTAAGGTTGTTTGCATTCACTCCTGCCCCATCATTTCCGAGATCGAAAGCACCCTTTCGTGGATATGGGCAGCGTGGATCACCGTATGGAACGAACATTTCTGACAAGGAGAGGCGGTAGAAGAGGCTACGCCCATCGTACTGTACGTTATGCAACGTCAATCCCTCACGATAATTGAAACCGACTCGCATGGTCCACTTCTCCCAGCTGAGAAAGTTCCCATCGATTTGAAATGATGGTCCATCTGGCTGAAAAATTTGGAGCGGGCGAGTTGTTTCCCGAAAGTTTGCTTGTAAATCTGGATGATACTCACTGGAAGTGTGAATCTTGTGAGAATCGAAAGGCTTATTATTGGAGGACGCCTCATCGACTCCTGAAGGTAGGCGCGAAACTTTTGTGACTTTTAGAGATTCTGAAACTTCTGCAATGATGTCCAAAGGGTAGGCGTAGTAATTAGCATCTGAGTGATCAGATAGCCGCATGTAGAACCAACACTAAGGGTATTTAGCATCGGGTAGAGGCCATCGAGATAGGCGAGTAATTATCCACCTACCATGGTTATCCTCACGTTCATATCGTTCATTCCATCTGTGGCATACGTCCAAGGCTCAACAATGACCGTGGCTTCTTTAGGCAGCTGAAGCGACTGTATCTCTGCCTGAACACGAGGATCTTGATGACATGCTTCTTCCACCTGCTTCATGTACGCAGAATCAACATGGGAATGCCTCCCATGAAGAATGTCATTCGAGATGGCTGTTTGAGCTTGAATATCGACCTTGATCTTGTGGAACTCTTTGGAATAATACGCGTGGACCTTAGCAACTCTCTTGGGAGGAGATGGGGATTGAACGTTGGCTTCGATGGCTTCGAGGAATGCGATCATCTCTTTCTTCGGCGGTTCAGCGAGAGTAATGACTCTAAAGGTAATCAATTCATCTCTCGCAAACGCTCGTACTATTTTTGCGGCCTAATTCGAGTAAGTTCCTGAGTCAACTCCTCTAGTGAATAGTACTTGCAATCGCGATTTCCTTTGGAGAGAGGGGATCAAACGGATGGGGTTGCGATGACATGGCAATGAGAGGCTCTGAGACTGGTAAAGACACCTAAGGCGTCTCCTGGACTATGCACGGGAATCACCATGGTATAAAAGTTAAGGATATGATATCTGTTGGGTGCAGCGTCTCGTCTGTACGATAACATTAGTCAAGCCGGCTTCGGAGGCACTTTCGTAACGGAGCTAGGCGCGGAGCCTCTAGAATGCGAATAGAGGACTAAAAGGAACATGCCTCTTAATAACATAAAGGTGGCCTGGGATCCTACCTATTCGCCAATAGCATATCCAAAGGCAAGATAAAGCGTAAAGCCAGTGATATCGCCGGGATTGTACCTGCCTCTAAAGGTGTAAAGATCCCGAGGCCGCCCCGCTCCTCGTTAACGAAGCTTTGTGAGGAGCCATTGGTGAATAACGTCGTTCAACGCTGTCAGATGGTCGGTGACTGGCAATATGATAGCGTATTCCGACGAAAGCGGAAGGGGAGTTGGTGCACAGGACATTTTTTTGAACTGGGTTTAAAAGTTAACTCTGGACGAAGAATCATGTTATCTCAGCTAGCTCAGCCGATTGGGGAGAGAAGGGGCGAAGCCCCGACAGGGGCAGAGCCCCTGATACCCTTGCTAGTCAACATAAACCCATGCTAGTCGCGCCGGTGGCGCTCACGCTATCTTTCTGGCTAATAAGGATGCTAGATTTAGCTTCTCTCCCTAGCTGTCTAAGGGACTTTAGTAATTAATTATATAGATAACTAATTTTAGTGCTTACTTTTTATATAAAGATACATTATATTAATATTTACGCATCTTTTCTTCTCTTTAAACATCTCTAAACTTTAGGCTAACAGCTACGCAACTTCTTGCTATTATTTATTAAATTGTTACATGTTTTGCACGTTGTTTACTGTACAAAATAGCTAATAAGTCTACTAGTTCTACCCTGCGTCTGCGCTAGTGTCTATAACCTTCTTATCTTTCTCTAGCAGATAAGCTGCTACTTTCTTTATTATTACTTTTATTATTACTTTTTTTTATGTCCTTCTTACCTTTATTTATAGTTGCTACTAAGCCTTAGGCCCTAGTTTTAACAACTTATCCCTTTACAACTTTATAAGTAGCAGGTGTGTCTACTTAGCGCGTCTAGTTGTCTGCACTTATTTACACCCTAAGATTAAGAAAACTAGAGCAAGTCCTAGCATTAATAAATAAGCTGTAGATGCTAATAAGCAAATTTATTAAGTTATATTTATAAGACCTGCTGTTATTAAGGGCCCTACTGCTTAGTAGACATAGGATAATTCTTTAATTAGCACTAAAACAGCTAAATATTTATGTAGCGTTAAGTAAAGATAATAAGGCTACTAGTGTCCTTAGTTCTATTATGTTTATAAGAGAACTTAATAGTTTTATTAAGCAGAAGTTCTTTAACTAGTATAATATAGCCTCTAGGCTAGATAAAGTTAATTTTGCTAAGTTAAAGTTAATTATAGCTAATTAGGCTCTAAATTAAAGCAGGTTTATTAAAGAACTTTTATAAAATAAGTAAAGTGCTTAGGGCAGTTACAGTAAGGCTAAAAGTTTATAGAATAGTAAGGTGTATTTAATTACTTCTATTATCTTACATTGCTAGGCCTAAAAGAGATGCAACTACCTTACCTGCCTACTAGGTCTATATTTACATAGTAGTAGTACAAAACAGCGTGTTGTAGAGATGTTGTTAGGCTTAGGTGTTTATAACTTATATAAGATTATAAACTAGGAGGTTAATAAAATAGCAGACTATATAAAGAGCTTATAAGTTATAATATTATATTATATAGCTTGTGTCTTACTTAATGCTAAACTACTAAGTCTTGCGCATAATCCTTAGTTAATAATTATGTATAATAATTATAACTTTACTAACTAGACTTATAACTACGCTGTAAGCGTTGCAACAGCTATCTAGCAGAACCTAACAACAGCGCTTATTATAAGATGTCTATAGATCTCTAAGGACAGTTTAACCTAGTCTATGTTTAATTCTAGCATAGCATTGCAGCCTAATTAGATCTGTATGGCGCCTAGCATAATTTAGGACTATATAAGCAAGTAAATTACATTGTGCTATATGTTGCGCGCTATAGCTACTATCTACAGTGCTGCTGTATTAGGGGTCTTTGTTAGCTTAGAAGACTAGTTACTGTTAATGCTAGCTATTAAAGTCCTACTGTGTAAAGAACCTAGCTAGGTAAATTATCTAGAAGTAATATTTTTTAATAAAGGCGTTATTAATAAAACTTATAAAGTGCATAATAATATTTAGCTTTAATAGTTAAATATTTCTGCAGATCTAAAAGAGCTAAGCTTTAAAACACAGCTGTAGATAGTATAAGGCAACTAGAAAACTGCTAAGTTTATACACAGTCTTAAAAAAGAGCAGCGCGGCGCGTTCTAGCTATATAATAAAAGGGATTAGATAATTAGACTGCCTATGTATTTTTATATCCTTTAGGCACTTACTTACATAATTATTTATACACACTTTAATACGCCTAAAGGTATAGACTTTTCTAGTAATCTTTTACATAATATTATACACTTAAACTGTGCTAGTATTAATTAAGGTAATGTTAAGTATTATATAGCTGTGCTGCTAATACATCTAAGCTAGGGCGCCTAAATAGTTGCGTTGTTCTACTAGGAGATAGGCAATAGTAGATATCTTTAAGGCTAGGTGCCAGATATCTATGCAGCAGATGTCTAGCAATACTAGTAGGGTCTTTATAATAAGGCTATTAGTTAGCTTTTGCTTAACTAGTACATTAAGTTACTTAAGCAGATACATAAAAAGGTCTTTACACTTACTGTGTAAAAGGGCTGTAATAATTCTAAAAGTAACTAAATAATAATATATTAGTTTCTTTAAAAAATTAAGATGTTTCTTACTCTACAGTATGTAGTTAAGTTTAGTAATATTAAAATTATTTATTACTTAATTAATTTATTAGCTGTATTCTTCTTTAGATCTAGTTAGAAGCGCTATAGTACTAAGCTACTACACCTCTGCTAGTTAGTCTTAAATAGGGTGTTAACTCTAACACTTTAGCAGTCTATACTTACCTCTAGGTTAGTTAACATACATAAAAAGCTAGACACCTTTTAAGCAGTTAATATTATGCTTAAGCTTATAAACTATATGTATAAGCTTAACATGCAGCACTTTAAAAATAAGACTTATAATATAAACTTTACTTTTAGTTATCTTACACTGTTTTACTAGTTTTATATGCAACTCTGTGCGCTAATAGAGGGCGCCTTTAGGAAGAAAAGTAAGAACAAGCATACACAGCGTAACATTAAGCTAAAGACATTTACCCTTACTATTTATCTACTAAGTTGCGGGCGCTGTAAGCGCTTAACTAGTTAAATTAACTAAGGGCTCTTTTAGCCTATTATAAGCCCTAATATTATTGCTAGTAGTATTAAGTTATTAACATTAAAGGTTATAGACTTTAACATTAGTAATGTTATATCTAGTAATTATATACTAGCACTAGATGTAACTAATCTAGCAAGCATTAGCGCAGAGAAGTTGCGTTATATTAATATAACAGAATTTGCAGAAATAGTTAAGGGCATAACTTATAGCAACTTTAGGGGTTTAGTTAATAATTTAATTAATAGTAATTTTAATAGAGGTCTTAATAAAGCCTTTAAAAATAAATAAAGTAATTATATATTTTTATTTTATATATACTTATAGTAAGCACTTCTGTAATGTATAACAGTATTATAAAGCACTATTTACTTAGTGCAGCTAATTAGACGCTGTGCGCTGTTAGTTGCTTGCTAGTTTTAACAACTGCGCAGTGTTAGGTACATAACTGCTCTCTAGTCCCTTTGTATTAGCTTGTACGCCCTTATCTAACCCACAGCCTATCTACATATTGCATGTATTAAGATAAATTTCTAGCTACAGATTACCTAGTTGCTAGCATACTATTACAGTTTTATACGCTTACTATTTTTAAAGGTTCTCTAATTATAATAATGCCTATTAGTTTAATAGTTTTAAAAGGTTTATAAAAATGCTTATATCTTACTTAAATAATTTAGAGACGTAGTAGTAGTAAATAAGGTTATATAAAGGCTTAACTATGTTAGAGTAAGACTATAGTTAAAAATTAAAGGAGCTAAGGCTATCTTAATTATAGTAATGTTATGTTACTATGCGTCTTAATTATTATAAACTATCTACTTATATTTACTACCTACTGTTTAACGTAGTTTAACTCTGCAACACTAATTAATTAATTACGTGCAACATACATTTACTCTAGTAAGACTTTTTCCTTTCTTTATTTACTGCTGCTGCCTAGCCTGCTTATTATTAATCTAATGCCTTATAATTACTTATATATGTTATATCTTACTTATTTTCACCTACTTTTACCTCTAAATTAGGTAATTTTTAGTTATAATTAGTAAAAAATAATTAAAAAGTTATAATTTTTTATGCTAGTTAAATGCTAGCGCCTTTTATATTCTTTTAAATAATCTTGTAATATGTACTTTTACTACTAGGCAGAAACTCTAGTCTAGTTAGGTGCTCTTGCTACTAAGGTAAGAGCTAGGGTATATATAGGCCCCTCTTTTTTAGTTAAACTCTTTTTAATTATTTCTAACTTTTTTACTCTAATTAGCTAAGTTTTTCTTACCTTTTTAATTTAAGCTGTACTAAACACTGTATAGTTACTCTATTCTCTACCTTGCCCTATAGGTGCTTGTCTACCTCTATTAACTAGCTAAGTCTCCTCTTTGTCTATGCGTTAGGCTGTACTAAACACTCTACAGTAACATAGTCTTACTTTTCCTCCCTTTATTACCCTTTTTAATTAACTAAACTATTCTTTTACGCGCTTTTAAACTCTTTTTTTTTACTTAACTATGTTCTTAAACCTTTTCTTGCTGTACCCCTTTTTAATTAACTATATTTACTCTTTAACTATTACCTATTACTTCCTTACCCTCTTTTAAA